TCATAAAATACAAAACAGAAAACAATGTGACTGTGAAAAGTGTATGTTGTTAGCTATGGTAATTCTTTGTCATTTTCCCATTTTGGTTAAGATAGTAAATAAAAAAGTTCAGTGAAAACTGTCCATTTTAAAGATCTTGGAGCACATATCATACTAAGACCAAATCACTTTAAAGGATTTGTAGTGTTGTACCTCTACTTCCTTTTCCCAAATAGCATGCCATGGGCAGTTTAAAAGCAGCTCCAGTTTATCCTGTTCCCGTGTATTCATCTCTGGGAGGTTAACTTAAATGTTATTAAATTTATTCATTAAAGGACTTGTGGAGCTGGTGATGTAAAACATCACAATGAAGAACAAAATATGCTTAAAGGCTATTTTAACGTCTCCCTAAAATGTTTTAAATAATTTTATTGGACTTACCCTTTCTATTTAAAACAGCACTTTTAGGTCACAATATTCACTAGAAAAGAAGATTTTACACCAAAGAGCTAGAAAGGATGATCTGCAGCAGATAAATGTACAGCAGGCCTCCAGGCACAAGACTTCATAGCTAAAATTCCAAGGCTGTCTCCCCTACTGACTGTTTTGTTGGAGCAGCTGTAGATAACTTAGAGGAGTCATGGAGGAAATGGTATGTAAACTGATCCAGAACAAGAGAACAGTGATGTTCTCCGCACCACCACTGCAGCCTGCAGGATGGAGGCTTCCTTAGCTGCAGGAAGTCAGCCATGACAATTCTGGTGGATCATTCATGGTCATTCCTCTCACTTGTGGAAGAAACAAAAAAGTAAAGTCCATTAGTATTTTGAAAGCTTTAAGAAACCCTTTGCTGTGGCTGAACCCCATGAGTAGGCAAGCTCAGCCCCACGGAGCCACTCACTCCCCCCACAGTAGGACGGGGTAGAGAATCAGAAAAGTAAGGGTGAGAGAACTTGTGGGTTGAGATAAAGACGGTTAAATAGGTAAAACAGAAGCTATGCAGCAAAGCAAAGCAAGGAATTCATTCACCACTTCCCATCAGCAGGCAGGTATTCGGCCATCCCCAGCAAAGCAGGGCTCCGTCACACTTGACAGCTACTTGGGATGTCAGATGCCATAGCTTGAATGTCTCCTTTTCCTTCTTCCCCCAGCTTGTATTGCTGAGTACAATGTTATATGGTCCCTATGGTTAGCTGTCCCCTCCTGACTCCTTGCGCACCCCTAGCCTGCTTGCTGGCAAGGCCGTGTGAGAGGCAGAAAAGGCCTTGAATCTCTGTAATCACTGTGCAGCAGTAACTAAAACATCCCTGTTATCAACGCCCTTCTGATCACAAAACCAAAACACAGCGCCATACCAGCTATTCTGATGACAATTAACTCCATCCCAGCCAAAACCAGCACATCCTCCCATTTCAGCATAGTTCCAGCATTTCACTGAACTCAGAGAAGGAAATGTGGAAACTCACTCACTTCAAATCAAAATGTAGTGTTTAGTTCCTTACCTTTAAAGTTCGTCTTCAGCAGGCTGCATTAGGTAATTAAACTGGAGAAAACTTAGGTGGTATCTGATGTGCATAGCTAAGACAGCAACAGGATGTTAGAAGAGCTATGATGCCCCTTTGTATGTTTTAATTAGACCTGATTATCACCCTTATATAGTTACAGCACATTACCTAGTGCAACAATTCAAGCAGCTTCATGTAATGACCACTAAGGAAAACAGCATTGGCAGACAGTACTTATATGAAGTCTATACTGCTGTTATATCAAGTATTTTCAAGTTGTAAAACTCACCTGTTAAATGCTTTTCTTAGAAGTAGAATATGGATCTAGATCTTTAATCCAGACATACTGAGGTAGGCTGAAACCATGTCAATAAGTAAGGCATTGGAATATTCTGAAGTACTTTGAGAAGCTTTCAAAATGAAGTATTAATCTGAAGCACAAAGGATGAGGTATGAGGTATCAATAGCCTAGTATTTATCATTATCAGAAATCATAGGAAATAATGGTTTTAGCTATTTTGAGGATCAGAATAGCAATTTTCAACTAGTGGATTTTGGCCAGCTCTTGGTGTGGAAAAAAAGGTGCTTTGCTTGGTTTTTTGCAGTATTTTTTAAACACAGCCTTAGCATTTAAGGTTCAATACTAGTAGTTTGAGTCACATCTAGTCTGAAAACTTTTTTGTGACAGTACCTGTTCAGTTATATTTGGCTTTGTGACAGTGTTTAGCTAGAGCTGTTTGTACAGCTCTGACTAGAAACACAGTGAAAACCAATAGTTCTAGCTAAGAAGGTAATGTGAGAAAGGTATAGGATAACATTGAACATATTTTCAGTTACTCTGTATGAAGAAAATTATCCAAGTTGTATGTATTTTTTAATAACAAATATCAGGAGAAGACATCTTAAAGTAGCTGTACTACAGAGATAATTCCAATTCAGGCTGATAAAGCCTATAAAATACAAAGTTTTTTAAAGCCATCCATTAGATGATTTATGATCAACTTTACTAACAAGGAATGGTATAATGATAAGATTTCACATTTCGTATTGGCACATTTCTGACTGTGGCAGCATGTACTCCTTTAATTAGGCATTAAGAAAACATCTTATATGGATGAAATAGAGATGTTTATCTTGGATATCTGAAACATATGCAAGCTAAGATACATAAAAGCTTTACTAGACCTCTCAATAAGAAATAAGATTAGTCCCAAACAAATGGTAATATGGGTCCACCAAGCAGTTGCTTTGGTTTAAGCCCAGCCAGTAACTCAGAACCACTCAGCCCTTCCCTCTGGGTGGGATGGGGAGGAGAATTGAAAGAATGTAAACCCTCTGGGTTAAGATAAGAACAGCCCAATAATTTAAGTATAAAACTACTAATAGTAATAATAAGGGAAATGAGAGAATATAAAACTAAAAAGGGAAGGTGGAAAAAACCCCAAATAATAAACACAAGCAATGCACAATACAACCGCTCACCACCCGCCGACCGATACCCAGCCCGACCCAAGCAGCGATCTGGGCCTTCCGGGTGACTCCCCCCAGTTTATGTACTGGGCATGACATGCTGTGGTATGGAATACCCCTTTGGCCAGTTTGGGTCAGGTGTCCTGTCTCTGCTTCCTCCTGGCTTCCCCTCCTCCCTGGCAGAGCATGAGACTGAGAAAGTCCTTGATCAGGGTGAACACTGCTCAGCAACAACTAAAACATCAGTGTGTTATAAGCATTGTTCTTAGACTAAAGTCAAAACACAGCATTGCACCAGATACAAAGAAGGAGAAAGATAACTGCTGTAGCTGAACCCAGGACACCAGTTTTCCAGACCTGACTGAACCAGAGCATTAGAAAGCAACATGCATGTTACGCATTCACAGTAATCACATCTGAGGTTGCCAAAGGCTGAGCTTATTAGTAGTGCTTGGAAGTATTGGTAACTTGTCCTTAAAATGTGTGAAATACAGCAATTACATATAAAAAAAGTAAGGATAAGCTGCATGCTAAATGAATAAGCCTGCACTAAGGCCATCTAAAGTGCTGTATGCATGCTGGTGTTCATTTATTTACTAGTATCTATATAGGCAGCCTGGGAGAGCAGGGACTAGGGCAGTGCTCTACAAATAAAACAATCTAGGAGTTGTAGGTCTGTTAAAAAAGCAATGAAGTCTTTGTCCACAGCTGCAAAGCTACTGCAAGCTTAAAAGTTATCCTAGCACTTAGGCCTGTCTACCATATTAATACACAAGGAGAGTTAACAGTCAAAGAGTGCTAGATAAACTCTTAGCACTTATCCTCTATTGGGATTGTTCTAGAAATAAGTCTCTCCACTGGTGGAAGAATTACCATGCTTAAAAGCACAAAATACAGACATTCCTGTAGTGGGGAAAAACAAAGTTCCCTGAAGTTTAGGATAAAACTTCTCAGCTCAGAACTTGCCAAAGTATATCTATAGGAAAAAGAAATCTAAGCTTGGAATAAACCCAAGATCTTATGCCAGTAACTTTATGAAGTCATGCCAGACAACATGTTTTGGCATCTGTAAGGGAGAACCATTTAAATATGGAAGTTGTAAAACCAGTTACCAAGAAACAGAAGCTTTACCCCATACAGGTTTTTACTTTTATTTCAGTAAGCAGATAGCTGAAGTGCTTTTCCTTTGCATAGTTCTAGTTCATCTTCAGATATGCCAGTCAGGCTTTTGCACTCATTAGTGCACTCAGATTAAGTGCTTCCTACTGCTAAAACAAGCTATGAAGCTTTTAGAAGTAGAAAGAGCCAGTCACCTATTGTCCTCTTACTAGTTCATACTTCCATTTTCAACATTGAAATGCTTTATAGGAGTTGACATGACAAGGACGTATCATGGCTTTTCAGTTATTAGGCCAAAGAGATCACTGAAGTTTGGTCACAGAGCCTATTAGCTGCAAGAAAGGAGTTTCTTAAATGCTTCCTAGCTTTTGTATTCAGGTTTGATTTGAAATGCAAGCAGCACGCTTCAGTTACAAACACCTAGTTCCTCAGCAGTTCTCTGGAAGGAAGAAGTTGCATTACAGCCCAATTTAAGTGTCATGGGGGAGGGAAGCCATACACATTTGTACTTCACAAGGGTCAATTTTAACTTCAAAATATATTGCAGCTAAGCGTGAGCCAGCCCATCAGTGACTGTGTTGAGGTTTAAGAATTTCTACTAACCACTCCTGAAGGACAGGTGATGTGACAAAGCTAGATTTTGACAGGATATGCATTTAAAATAAGTAGTCCTAATGAAAGATGTAGAATTTCACTAACTTCTTGACCTTTTGGTTAAAAGGAAGCAGGTATGGAACGATCTTGAATTGATTTTGATCATGGGAACACTTAAGAATGGAATCAAGCAAGAACTAAACAAACGGGTAATCCCATTTAAACTACACAGTTTATCCTGAATTATTTAAACCTGAAGACCAGCTCTAGCACACCACATCAGGAATAAGCTCAGTTTGATGTATTTAATAAAGACCACTGGCAAGGTTAATACTAAAATGCATATTAACTTGTTTTATTGAGGCACAACAAGGCATTGTGAATAGCCCATACTTGAGGCAATCAATAGTGTAGTAAGCTGGACATTAATACAGTTTAGGGTAAGTGCAAACAATATACATTCACAGCTTTACTAGCAAGGCTACATCACAACTGATAAAGTGCCAAATTAGTGCTGATTCAGTACCCCAACTCCATGATTTCACCTTGCACAACAGGACCATCATTTCCCCCCAGTAATGGAACCACGTATCTTCTATAAAGTCAGAAGTGCAAAGCTAGTCCCACCCCCCTCCACCAACGTGTTTGGAGCAGCTCTTTTGTAAACATCGCACTGGATTTTAGTCCTGATAGAGGAGGTATCCTGAAAAGGTGGAATATTTCCAGCTACTTCCATAGATGGCTCCCCGATGCAGACGCAACCAGATTTGGTCTCCTTGGAAAAGCTGCAGGACTGCATGATTACTAGCTGTTTCATGATCAGGAGCCCCATCATTTGCATATGCTGACACTAGGACCTCTTCATTCTTCATGAGATTCACATACAGGGGAACATTTACAGCCAGTTTCAGCATGTGGAAGATGAAGACATATGTACCATTCACAGGACAGTTGAACCTACCAAGCTGGATATCAAAAGTTTCTCCAAGGTTGTTCAGCAACAGATCAAACACAATTGGCTGGTCTAGAGTTCCAGGAGCCAGGTTAGATGTTCTAGCAGCAGAGAAGGCAACTCTCATCTGCTGTGGGAGGGGGTAGACATGCACTGGTAGTATGGTGGCAGCTTGGCTTGTCACTGGCATGTCAACAGGGGTGATGCTGCGGGAGTCTCCCTGCCCAGAGTCCCCACTGTTAAAGGTTTCATTGTCTCGTTCTGGACTGCTCACCTGGGAGGAATCACTCCACCCCGCTGTTAAAAGATCATCAGCAATGACAAGTAAGTACCACAACAGAAGGATACACTTAAAACTGCAGTCATAGTCCTAAACAGCAGATGTATGAGCTTTGCACCAGATTTCTCTTTCAGCTACAGCAAGTTGTCAAAGGACTCCAGTGAAAACAGAACTTTGAAGCTGGTTTATATTCATCACACTTACATTCAGCAAGATGGGTGATAATTTAACTATGAACAGTTACTTTTCATACTTTTAAGTAGATAGTGCAGGAGCTTGCAATAGTTTTATCTTTAGTATTTCCACATATATATCAGCATAAAAAGACCCGAATGCTAGCTTCTGAGTGGACATAAAATGGAATTTCTGAGAAAACAGTCATTTAATCACTTTCAAGATCTGAATTTACACTTCAAGTTACCTCAATACTGTTGTTCTGGAATTGCATCCTAGGTCCTATCAACTTACGATGCTAGAATATTTTAAGTCTGAAGAACTACAATTGCTTCTAAGTTTTCTGCACCCCACTCCCCAAAATAAAGCTGTTTATCTTCTCAAATATCCAAGTTAAGAGTCTAAAATGAAAAGATAAATAGATCTGAGAATTATAAAGTAATTCTCAAGCTGCAAACCATTGTTATTTCCACCAGAAAGGAACACCACAAGATACCAAATAAAGCTAAAGTTGCTATGTCCTAACAATAATGAGTATGGCTGTCAACTGTTAATTCACCACAACCTCATATTTCTTCTGAAGTTAATTTTATTCTGAAATATATTCTGCAAGTCCTCCCTCAGACTGAGTCTGCTAAAATTTCCCATGATATGCCATAACTTCCATTTATTCTTCAAAGTAGCAATCTACGACTACTATTCATCTCATTTTTCATCTATAGGATTTCACACAGTAGGATTAAATCATCTTGTTCACAGCTTTTTCAAAATACATGCTATTCATGCTTGAATCCTTGAGTGCTGTGTACTTCTTTAGGTTTTGTACTCCAGCATGGAATCACAGAGTAAAGCTGTGTTCCCAAACAAGTTATTTTTCATAGGAAGAGTTATCTTACAAGGTTTCTGTGACCTGACAGCTTACCCAGAGGCAGGGGAGACCATGCAATTAATGAGAGAAGCCATATGCAACATTGGAACCACCCTCTCTTTTCCTTACCAGTTTATTTGCGAAGAAAGTTCAGTGAGGTACCACCATGTTAGACTCTGACATGTGAAGACACCAAGTTGACAATACTAATGTTAAATCTGCTGCTATGCAACACTGTCCAAGAACAGTACTTAAGCTCCCATCTAGCTTGGTTAATTTACACCCAGCTTCATCTGTTTTATTAGTGATAGCACACCATTTTCCTCACTACTCACAGTAACACTCCATCTGCTATGCCCAAGCATATATGTGTGTCAATTGGAACCTAATGTTAGCCTTACCTCTTGAATTTGCACGAGGACCACTAGTTATCCCACCTCGTTTATAGCACTGCTGGTAATTAACATCCTAAAAGAGAATGGAAATATTAGGAAGATGGCTATAAGCAAATCTGAAAACAAGTGGTGCTAACAAATATAGTATTTTTATATTTGCACAATTAACTCAAGCTCTAGAATAGACAATGGTGGAGTTCAGAATTAAGATGAAGATGAACAGCCTTACTTATGGAAAATTTACAACAGCTTATATGAAATTAAAGAGCTATTTCAATGCCATTTCTAGCAAGTTAGCTTCTGAACTATACACAGTTTAGTTCAAGCAATACCTTAAATCTCAGGTCTGTTAGAAGTCCATGAGTCTGTACAGAAGAATACATTTCATTTCAAAGCTGAAGACTCCTCCCACCAGAACCCTTTGCTTTCTTATATATTTTTTTTATTTTTGCCTAATTATATTCTCATTCCATTATATTAGAGGCACTTAGCATCAACTTTAAAATCCATAGTGAAAGATTTATGCCACATCTTATTTGCCATCTGTTTTCATTTCAGAGATTCCCTTCAGACTAAAATCCACATGTGATAGAGATGTTATCTGTCTGAACTGACTTCCTATTTCAACTGCTGCCTACTGTTCCAAAGAGTTTTGTCCAGAAAACAAAGCTAACCCCTATCTTGCAAGGAACAGTTCACCTGTGAAGACAATGAAAAAAATACAGTAGAAGACTCAACTCCTGAACAGTGCTCAAAAGGCTACTGGAAACAAAGTCAATACTTACCCTCTGAGAATAGGGCATTCCAGCATAATCTCTCCCAGGAAACTGCAGCTGGCCATAGCTGCCATTAGTTATTGAAGGTGAGCCTCTGTAAGCATCAAAACCTGTTCAAATAAAGTTGATTTGATACTCATCATTTGGTTTACAGTACAAGTCCAAAATACAACTAGAGCTCCCTTTTGGGAATTCCCATGTGTATTAAATTATGCAATTACACATCTACTCCTATTCAGAATTTGGAGCAGAATCTCACTTCTCCTCTAAAGAAAACATTTCATTAGCTGCTCAGAACTACTATATCAAAATTACATGCTTAGAAGTATTAACATCAGACCGTAACAATAGCCTGTTTGATACTAATGGGACTTCAAAGAATAGCTGAAAAATTTCCTAGATCCAGAGACAGGATTTAACAGAGAATTAAGAAATACTTTCTTTTGCTGTTACAGATGCTTAGCTATTACTGCTACATGTTTAGGTGCTACTATTTAGCCTCTTTAGCTATCAGACTAACTACCAAAGAGGAGCTGCAAGCCATTTAGTACCAGACACTATAAAATCCTTAACTGCTGTTAAGTTAGAACTGTACAACTTACTGCCTGGTACATGTTGCTACAAGCTATTGAGCAGTCTCAGCCAAATAACTAAAACAGCTATAACAGATTAAGTGTCCTTCCGAAGTGGAAGAGACCACAGCTACCAACAACCTTAAGTTAGTATCTACTTAAAGTCAGCTGAAGCTTTCTAGAGCACTTCAGCTAGCAGCAAGATAGCAACTGACATGCAGAGACCAAAAAAGTCTTCTTAAACCTCTTCAGTTTGTTATTAATCCAGAAGGGCTCTGCACTAGTAGGAACCTCTCCCCCACCCCAGTTTCTGCTGGTAATATTAAACCCAGCAGTGCTAAGCAAAGAGTATCTTGTTTTGGGCAAATACCACTAGTGCCATCTGAAGAGAATACATGCCCAGAATGTCAGCAAGACAGATGCCAAGAAAAAGAATAAAAGGGGGAAAGAAGTTCAGAATAGTAAATGAAATAGCAAGCAAAGCCTATACAGTTAAGTTAATAACCTATTAGTGAAAGTTCCTACTTTCATAACTTAATAGGCTATGAAATTGCTCTGTCACATCACATTAAATCATGTTCTAGTGTTACTACATTAGATTTTTAAGGTGGTAGCAAATATACACATACCTTTATACCCACCAGGGGAACGATATGAACTAGCCAGAGACCTTCCACCTCTAGCAGATCCTCTGACAGACCCACGACTGTTAAGGTAAGGCTGAGGCGGTCTGGGAATAACATTAGTCTGGGCTGGATAAAAGGCAAGGCTACCATTGCTAACAGGAGCTGCTCCATCAGGTTGATAATTCACTGCTTAAAACAGAAGGCACAAACAAATTCAAAACTTTCATAACTGTAAGAAGTTACCACACCTGGAAGCAGGGACAGCATTAGGAAGTTCAGAGACTGATTAAGCAGCTCAAAATGTCCTGTCTTCCTGTTCCTTCATTACTTCAAATAAGTGGGCATCCTCCCACTTTTTCTGTAGAGTGCTGTGCTTGAAGTATACTGTAGACAGCCCAGGCTGTCAGTGTAAGTCTCTAATACATTTTACAAGATTCAGCTGCATAGATCAGAACAAGCTTGCTAACAGCATCAATAACCAAGCTAGAATAAAATCAACACCCAATTAAGAACTTTCACATAGAACCAACACTGTTCTACTAGCAAGAATACAGTGGTCTATGATAAATTACACCACCTCAGCACTCACATCCTTCAAGGAGATGAGGCAAACTCAATCTAGATAACAGTAAGAACTGTGGAAATCTAGATATTTGGGTTCAGTCTCTTCAAAATACATTCCTATCATATGTTATCAAGCAGTTCAACTCCAAACAGGTATTCAAGAATGCTTTTCATTTAAGGTGATTGAGTAGTTAGCTTTAAATACAGCCTTTGCAACCATGAATGTGTTTCCACAGGTCCATACTTTATAGCAATCCAGAAAGCTTAAACTGATCCAGTGACAAGTCTAAAACCTTTTCTGAAGTCTGCACAGAGCCAGTGCACAAGATGAATAAAAATCATGATGTTCCATCAAAAAACAGCATAGAAGGCTGATCAGCTGTAGTCTCGGTGATGGGAAGGAGCATTTAAGCTAAGCAATACTTTCCTGGTTTATATATATATA